CCACCCCCCACCCCACCCCACCCCACCCCACCCCACCCCACCACCCACACAAAAAAAGGAAACTTTTCTAGTAGTGAAAACCTATTTCCACACCTTTCCTTGTGTTTCTAAATAGCAATTTTGTTTGTTTGTTTCGACATGGGAACATGGGGAGGAAACATTTTCAATCTCATTCCTTTGTTTGGTTCAAAAGCAAAAAAACAAGAACTAGTTTCATTATTTAACTATTATTAAAAACGCATCTTTCCAATCTTTTCCTCCCTAATTCATCACTTTTTAGAGAAGAATTGGTTTCCTTGCAAAAATTAGTGTTTCCCTCACTTTTAAATTAGTCCTCCAAAAATAGGAGGAACCTTCTATTTCTATTGTCAAACTTTTGGTGAAACAAATACAAGAACGGAAACCATTGGAAACTTTTTTGTACATTTTGACCATGTCAGAGCCTTTCCTACCCTTTCAAAGGGTTCTCACCCGAAACAAACACCCCCTAATTGAAGTGAAGAGAAAGTAGGACAGGGAAAATATCGTATCATGGCTAAGAGTTTAGTGAAGGAAATGGACGGGAATTATTTCTTCCATATATTGAAAATAGTCTCCCGAATCATCATATCTTGAATTAATCCTCCAAAATTTTAAGTGTTTCGAAATCAGTCTCTACTTGATATTTACCACCCAAATTGTCGACACGTTAGATTGATGGTTAACCAAGGACGCGTACTCAAATTAGGCTAAATGTCATAAAATCCTCTTAACTTTGTTCGATTATTAGAACACTCCCTTTAACATTCAAAATATTAGAATTCCCCACATAAGTTTAGGGGTTATAAAAAAAACCCCATCAACTTTAAATGGGTCAGAGTGAGCCGAGTCTATTTCTCTGATATCGGGTCTGGGACTGAGCCCAGCCCGGTCCACGACCCGCCTAGGTGCGGGCCTAGTCTGACCCGGCCAGTGGCCCGTGAGTCACGTGCCGGCCCATGTGTTTTTCATCCAAACTTTTTCCTATTTTTTACTGTTTTAATTATATTAAACTTATATTTACAATTATATAATTATTTCTAATTTATTTTTTTAGTAATTTAAACTTGTATTAAACTATTTTTAAGCTAGTATTAAACTATTTTTAAGCTAGTAGTAAACTTTTTAGTCCATCTAAGTAAACAACATCAAGCTTAAAGATCGCTACTTTATTTCTTAATGGATCAAAAGGCCTATGAGCCAAATACATATGATATTTTGGCTTTGTTGGCAGCTAGTTTCAGACCCAAAGGGCTAGAGGAACAGTTAGTTGCAGACCCAAAGGATTAAAAGAATAACTAGCCTAACCAAAAAATATATCATGGACCAGGGCGCGGGCGCGTCGGGTGTGGGCAGTGCCTTCTTCTCTAATCCAGGGTCTGAGGCTGGACCCAACCAGCCAGTGACTCGAGTATATCATGGGCCTAGTCGGGGCCGACCCCCTACGGGCCAGGCCGGGTCGTGACTCATGATGGGCTGGGTCGGGTTAGCACGTAGGTCAACCCGGCCCACGCCCAATCCTAGGGGGTTGTGATAATCTTGATACTTAAAAGGGTTTTTTTTGATATTTTAAAAGTCAAGGGGTTTTTTCGATAATCGTCCAAAGTTAAAGAGGTTTTTTTTTTTTGGATATTTAGCCACTCAAATACTCAAATCAACAATAAAATCAATCAAAACCGTAATAAAAACCAGGTTGAGAATTAGTGAATTTAAAATTTTTTTTTTTGGAGGAAAGTGGATTTAGTTCTAGAAAAATTGCAGAATCTTCCCCGTCTGTACCGCATTGAAGTTTTCTAGAATTTGAGTTTGAATGCATAGGGGCCGTAATTGATATTGTTTACAAAATGAAAATATTAAAGATAACAGCTAGCATACTAACGTAATATATTATTACTTCGTGCATCATTTTGGGTGATCCTTGGAGAAAAGATAAGGTTGTGTTTGTCAATAAATAAGCATCATCAACTCATTAGACAATTTATTTTGTGAGTACCAACGTCACAGGCTGGAGCAAAACAAACAAAATTAGGAGAGGAACCTTCTCTTTCTATTGTCAAACTAACTTGAGTTGGCCGCCAAAACTAACGCGTGCATTAAAATTTAGTCCCTCTAGAAGCCCATTAATTAAAATAGTTATACACGATTTCATGGAACCTGTCTCTTTTGCTTCTAGATATCCTATCCGTTTGAGTATATAAAAAACCTAACTATGGTTTGATTTTGAGCTGCACTGCACCCAGATCGAACATGGACAACCCCATTAAAGCTTCTTCTGTATTTCTACTCCTCTTGGTTTTGTTCCCTGCAGAAGCCAGGATGTTGCCCTCTCCCTCTCTCAAACAAGGTGAGGTCAATTATCTCGCCTAAGTCCTCCTTTTAATTTGAGTAAATTTCACAAGAGCACCGTGAAGAAGTTTGGCTCGTTTTGAGATAACTAAATGTCACTTAACCCCCCAAAACGGTTTCAGATAAGTCCCAAAAAGTTGGGTTATCTGATGATGTATTCATTCGGAAACACGCAAAAGTTTTGGGAGTTTACGTGACATTTTCATGTTGTCTAGCTTTATTTATTCATTTATTTATTTATTTATTTACATGTTTAGGATATATGAAAGTATTTCAATCGCTCGGAATGTCTTGCCAATGCTGCGATGGAGCTGGAGGCGGATGCAGAAGTAATTGGGAATCCGCATGTTCTAAGCTAGATTGCCGTCCTTGGAAATTTTCAAGATTTTGATGCGCGTACTTTGTTGTACTACCACTGTACATATACATACATAGTAATTTTGAATTTTTTTTTTAAAAAATTGTTAGGAGGGTTGATTAGCAAACTAACAATTCCATTGTTATTTTAGATGAATGGATATGAGAAGGTTGCAATCGATGGTTTTCGAATATGAAAGATGAGATTATATGGTGTGCATAATAAACCTTGATTAAAAACGATTAAGAAGGATACAGGATTGATTAACTTAACCGTGAAGACAATTCTAAACAAAACTTCTAATGGAAAAAAAATAGGATTAGTGCAGCCGACCTAAAGAATTTAGGAATTATGACATTGTTATTGTTGAGATACAATACTATTCTATAGGGTGGGCAAAAAAAAAAAAGATGCTGAATTTGATCAATCTCGGAGCTCATATTCCATGGATCCAGTATGTATAACAATAGGACTCCTAACGCTATGAACTCCGTCCGACCAAATCAACGACGCCGACGCAATTTCCTCCGAAAAAATACCCTCCTTCGAAGAAGCCGACACAACAAAACTTTGCTTCTCGTTTAAACCCTCAAATGACAGTGTGTCAGGATGCACAATAGCTTCGATTTTACCGCGAGTTTGAATCGCTGCTTTGTATGTAGCCTTCACTGAACCCACGTTTGTTACCGTTCTCGAAAAATTTACGGAGTACGCGGTATCGGGGTTTACTTGAAATGCCATAGAAGGGTAGTTTAGATCTCTCGCAAGAACTGAGGATTTGCTGCAGTTGGTTATATCTCCAGATATGAGCCTAAGCTTGTCAGCGCTGTAGCCTGAGCTGCACAAAAAGTTTATGTAGTCATTAACGCCGGCATCGTAGACTAGACCAGGATCTGTTGCTTTGAGAGGATTGATCTGGCCTGAGCCGTAGGCTAATTCTGCATCCGGATTAGTGTTTGGGTCCATAGCTTTAGCTGCACAGGTGGAATTAGATCTCATCAGGTAGGAAACATGATCAACATAAAGGGTAAATTTCACAAAACTTCTTGAGGTTTTTGAAATGCGGCAAACTTCTTGAGGTTTTTGAAATATATCCTATATCTAAGGTAAGAATAACTCAGAGGAACAAACATACCAGTCGTCATTATAGCAGATAGGAGTGCAGCTGGTGAAAAATTAGGATGAAAAGATTTGACATATGCTGCAACTCCGGTTGCATGAGGGCAGGATGCAGATGTTCCAGACATTATGTTATACTGCACTGAACGCTTATCGTTCGCATACCCTGATATCGGAGCCTCAGGGGACCAGGCTGCGAGGATATTGAGTCCAGGAGCACTTACATCAGGCTGCAAAAATAGTAATAAATCTTGAAGTCAGAATCCATGTTCAATGATCATACAACACAACATTTCTTAAGTAGCTTTGTGCAAATAAGCCCCCAGGCATATATCAACTCTGTTTAGCGCAAATGGATCAGATACGGATCAGATATGACACTTACCATACCCGTTTCCACTTACTAATCACGGATACAGATACAAATACCAATATGCCTTAGTAAGAAAAATCCATATACATATCCACTTTAATACAGAGATGGATTGGATAAGAGAAAGTACATACGGATACATGGTGGATAAGAAAAAAAATTAACAAGATGGAAAAATATATAGGTCATGTGATAAAAGAAATGCTTTAATATAGTAAGTTTCTCAAACTATAGTCCATTAATATGTTTGGCATGTCTGAAAAACTTAGTTTGGATCATCAAAATAGACCTCATATCTACTAATGCAAGTATCCGTGTCCGTATCCTACCAGATATAGATATTTGATATCCGTACCCTTATCTGAATACAACCTGATATTCAAACACATGTGCATTTTGCAACACAATTTAGATGCTACAAGATACACTCTTATAACAATCAATATGAACATACCTTCAGGATATCTGGTGTGACGAGGTTCGGACCTCTGCTAGAGAATGATGCGGTCATAGGAGCCGAACCATCAATGACTGCAGAAGTTTGATGTATATTTGCCATTGGGTTCCTGATTCAGGAATGTTTACACTTTACATTAACACAAAGAGGTCACGGCAAACACCTGCAGACTGAACAAATACGTACCCAGTACTGTTAATATAATTTCTCAGCCTGTCCCCTTCATTAGCATCAACAACCACAGCTGGTAAAGGGAAGGGCCAAGATAAGTCAAGGTGATCATAGTCAACCATCACTGCTCCCTTAGCACCAGCAAGCAAAGGCTCATCTCCGATAATTCTCGCATCACATAACACAACCTTCCCTTTCACTATATCTCCATCTAAGGACTGGGGTTCACATGCCCTTCATATTGCAGAAGATGACCAGGTTAACAAAGTTATATAATCATCAAATATATGAAACAAGATTATGAATAGAGCTAATCTGCAGATAAACCCGTTGTAGGCTTTTTTCGTTGCGAATATACCTCCTAAGTGAATTGTTTTTGACTCTCTTACCCTCAGAAGGTCTATTTTCTCTGAGGTAGAAGAGTAAAAAAAAAAAAAACTTCCTCACCTGGGGGGTGGGTCTACGTGCAACAATAGAACTACAGGGGTTCTATCCGCAACTAACCCTCATGAATATGATGAAGAACAAGTGCTTACCCCGGATGAAAACCCTGATACCCCTTCTTCAGTGCATTGCCTGCGTAAATGAACGGAGAAGACTTCTTCTCTGTTTCAAAGGTGTTGATGGAGTTCCCCTGCAGACAATATAAGAAGAAGACAATGTTGATCACGTTTCGTGTTGTAGTTTTGAAGTCATATTATCGGGTTAAGGTATTTCTGTAGTTTTAAGAGTATAAACATTTAATCTCATTGATGGGTAATGTTCAGTAGATTTTAATTTTTAAGAGATTCATATTGTTAATTTATTGCCATTCTAGATTATGTAGATCAAAATAGACGGTGTTGATCATCTAATTAAATGCTAAAACATACTTGGTATAAAAGAAATCTATGATTATCCTTTTTTATTTCTCAAACTCAAAAAAATAAAAAATAAAATAAAATAAAATAAAAAATAAAAAAATAAAAATAAAAATAAAAATAATAAATAAAAAAATAAAATGAAATAAAATAAAAGGGGAGAAAAAAAATCATACAAACAAAAAGATAACAGTAGCCTTAAAGAAATGGTAGTGCCAACTATATTACATTTTTTGCACTACTATTAACATGACAAGGTAGACCCTCTTATCAATAATTTGAAGAGAAAATGGAGAGATCCTCATATTTTGTTATTCACTTCAGTATAAATAAGGGTTAATTGCAGATACACCCCCTATCACCCAATTACGACCTCTATGGTTCCATTGTTGCAGATAGACCTCCCAAGTGAATTCTGTTCCTTCTTTTTTGACTCTATTACCCTCAAGAGGCCTATTTGTTAAGAAACAAGTTTCTCTTTCTCTAAGGGTAGAAGAGGCAAAAAAAATTCCCTCAAGGGGCTATCCACAACAATAGAACTATAACAGTGGCATATCCAGAATTTCTGAAAATTAATGTCAGTGCATAAATAATAAGGCAAAATGACTAACTCGATCATCCTTAAGGTATGAGTTAACTCTCTACTTGGCCTCCAGAGACCAATTTACCTATTTTGCCCCTTTAAGCTATGTTTGTGGGTTCAATGTGATCATTTTGTTAGCCCATGATCAATTATTTAACAGATTAATAACATGTCAATATTTCTTTGTATTTCTTCATGGTTTTTTATTAGTCGGTCTCCTTTCTCGCAGGCCAAAAAATTTTCTTAAAGTACTTTCTTTTAAAATGTTTTACTCTTAATCCTTTTCGAAATTGAAAAATAATTTTTTGAATTGCACAAATTACATGAAATTTAAACTAAAAATACTATCATGTCATTAGACCGTGAGCTCACAAAATGATCACATTGAAACACATACACATAGTAAGGGGGTTTGATCATTTTGTTCTAAATAATAAACAATAAACTTGAATCTCAATCTCATGTTTTGTTCCTGAAGAGTTTTCATATTTTGAAAAAAAATGTAATAGTACATTTGAATCCCAATCTCGTAGTTTATCAGTAATACAACATTCCATTTTGCATTGCAACTCATGACTTACCCAATTTTTGTACGAAGTATAATGTCAGTCGAACATATAAACAGTTAAATACAATAATGTGAACATACAAGTGAAAAAAGCCACATACTACAATCATTATATCCCACCAAAATTAAGTACGTAAGAGCATGTTTGTGTCATTTCCTAAAAAAAAAGAACCCCTTTTTAGTAGTAAAAAACCTATTTCCACTCCTTTCCATGTGTTTTTGGAAAATAGTTTTTTTTAAAGCATGGAAACATGGGGAGGAAACACTCTCTATCTCATTTCTTTGTTTGGTTCAAAAGCCAAAACTAAGAAACCAATTGAGATGAAAACCTCTCCCTCATTATTTAACTATTATATTTTACCAAATCCCAACATCATTCATTATTTATATAATAGAAACCCACCTCAAAAGAAAATCTTTCTTAAGAATTTTTTCTGTGAACCAAGAACATATAAATCGGAAACCTTTGCTCTTTTTGACGGTGTCTGAGGCTTCTCATGGATTCCCAAAGGCTTCCACCCGAAACAAACACCCCAGAATCCCAGGCTTTGCTTATGGTTTGGGGTCTTGGAGAATAACGATGTCACGTGACGCCACTATGCCCTACGTGGATCTGCCCTTGACTAAAGGGGGCCTATCCGTAACCGAGCGATATCAAAGGGGGTCTATCCGCAACTAATCCTAAGAATAAATACGAGGAGGACCGTAGACACCGTGAAGGCTAAATAAGCGTAACCTCACTTCATGGGCTTTACCTCGACCACCTTCTGATCACCTATCA